TCATACAATATGTATGATTTTCAGATTGATTTCTTCTACTTAGTGGTATGTACATGAGGTTTTTCCGTGTCTACCTGTGTTTGATAGTTGGGGATTGTGGGTTTTTTTTTAACATTTATTTTGTGTTGTATGTGCTATACCATAGTACATGTGTGGGGGTCAGAGGACAATTCTCAGGAGTCTCTTCTCTACCATGTGGATTCCAAGGATCAAACTCAGGTCATCAGGCTTGGCAGCAAGTGCCTTTGCCCAGTTTGTTTATCTGTTCTGTCAAAAGATGTTTTGGAGGACTGGAGAGATGGCTCAGTGGGTAAAGCATTTACCACACAAGTGTGAGGACCAGAGTTTGGATTCCCAGAAGCACACAAAAATTCCATGTGGCTATGGTGACCTGCCTATAATTCCAACCTTGGAAGGCAGATACAAGGGATCCCCAGAGCAATCTGGCTAGGAAGACAAATCATATCAGCAAGCTCTAGGTTTTATTGAGAAACTATGCCTCAGTGAATTAGAAGGATAATTCTCAACATCAACCTTGAGCCTCCAAATAGACACACATGTGACCACACATGCATGAAAATGGGGAAAAAGATAGTAGTTGTTTTCAAGTTTCAGCAATTAAAATAAAAGCTAATGTCAACACTTCTGTGAAAATGTAAGTTAGCTGATTTGTGTAAATTCTGCATGTGTTATGTCATGGATGAACGATACATTAACAAGAAACAAGACAAATACTGTGTTAATCTAATCATAAATTATTTGAATTGGTCAAATTCATAGAAACAGAAAGGAAAATGCTGTTAAATCAGACACGGGAGGAGAGAACAGGAAGGTACTGAGTGTAGACTTTTCCATCTAAAGTGACAAAAATATCTGAAATGATAATGGTTAAACAACATTGTCAATGTGCTTATGTCACTGAACTGTACACCAAAAAATGGTTAGCATAGCCAGGGACAGTCACACATATGTAATTGCATATACTCAAGAGGTTGAGGCAAAGAGATTGAACTATATAGCAAGACCTTGTCTAAAAAATAGTTAAAATAGAAAATTTTATTTAGAATTTATTAAAACTAAAATGGAGTAACCTGTTTTTGTCACAATGGCTAAGAAAAGACAGATGACTGAGTAGGTGACATACAGAATATTCTGCCCTCAGAACTAGTTCACAGAAGTCTGAGAACCAGTAGCTTCTGACAAAATAAGTAATTTGTTTAAATTGGTCAGGTAATTGATCTTTACTAACTAAATAGTACTTTATAATTTTAGATACTATTACAAAATCATACATATGAATCACATCTTTACAAATAAGTTTAGACTGTTTGAAACAAAAAACTAGATAATAACATTTTTTTTCTGGGACTGTGGAAATGGCACAGTGGGTAAGATACTTGCTGTACACGTGATGGCCTAAGTCCATATCCCCAGAACCCATGTAAAAGACTGGGTACAGTGGCTCACACCTGCAACCTGAGTGCTGGGAGGCAGAGATAGATTGCTCCTAGGGGCTCTCTAGCCACACAGTGTAGCCAAAAACTGCATGCTTTAGGTTCAGTGAGAGACTGTTTCCCACTGTTTCAGTGGCAGGGGCATGATAGAGTAGGATACCTATAGCAGACCTCTGGCCTCCAAAGGAGAGTATACCCCCTCCTTTACACACATACACAAATGTTTTTACATGCTTTTAATTAAATAATATTCCAAGCTGGGCATGGTGGTGCACGCCTTTAATCCCAGTACTCGGGAGGCAGAGGCAGGCAGATCTTGGTGAGTTCGAGGCCAGCCTGTTCTACATAGCGAATTCCAGACCAGCTGGGGATACAGGGAGACCCTGTCTCAAAATAATAATAATAATAATCATTATTATTATTATTATTATTCTAAAATATTTTTTAAAAATCAGCCAATCTTAGGCAGTTAGGGTAAAAAGACCCCAAAGAAAGGTAACCCGTTTCTTGGCTAAGAATCAAAATGTCCTTGGGCCTCTTAGCAGCATATTCTGTTCCAAAGGCCAAAAATGTTGATAGTATTTGGGAGCTCTTATCTAATCCTTAATAGATTTTAGGGGAGCTGGAGAGATGGCTCAGCAGTTAAGAACACTGGTTGTTCTTGCAGAAGACCCGGGTTCATATCCTAGCACCCACACGGCAGCTAACAACTGTCAAATAACTCCTGTTCCCCAGGGATCCAGCAGTCTCTTCTGACCTCCGTGGGTATTGCACGACACGGGTGCACTTACCTACATGCAGGCAATACACGAATACACATAAAATAAAAATAATAAAATATTTTTTAAAAAATTAAAAGATTTTAGGGTTCCCTCTTCAGAGGGGGGAATGTTGGAGTAGCAAACAGCCCCATTAAAAAAGAAGAAAGAATACATGAAGTTATCAGAAAAAAGTGATGGGGAGAGTGGAGGGGAGGGAGTGGGCATGGATTTGATCAAAGCACTTTATATGCATGGATGAAATTCTCAATAAATTATTTTTTTAAAAATCTGGCTGAGCAGGTAGAGACACTCATACACAAGCCTGGCATCTTGAGTTTCATCCCCAGATCCCATAAGATGGTAGGAGGAAACAAGATCCTTCAAGGTATCTCTGACCTCCCCATGGACACCAATGGCATGTCCACACCTGACATACATACACAGAAGTAATAAATTTTTCAAATCAACCAACTTTACATATAACCACTTGTACAAAAGTGGTTATTTTCCTTTGTTTTTCAGATCATGAGGAAAAAGTTTATATGGTTTATAGCTGAAATACAGATTTATAAAATGCTTCAAGGTTTATAGAATACTTTATCTTTCATTTGTACTTTATAATGCTTCTGATTTTGTATATATTATATTACACTTTATACTAATAGTAATATATTGTATAGTATCCTATTTTACAGATGAGGATGCTTAGGAATTAAATGATTTTTTTTTTTTTTGGTCTTTTTGAGACAGGGTCTCCTATAGCCCCAGCTGGCCTGGAACTCACTATGTAGACCAGGCTGGCCTTGACCTCAACAGAGATCCACCTGCCTCTGCCTCCCAAGTGCTGGGACTATAGGCGTGTGCCACTACGTCTGGCTGTGATTTTCTTATATACTAGCAAATACAGAACTTGATTGTGTTTTCTAGGGTACTTTTTCTATTGTGTTATATTTATTTTTTACTGTAGATCAGTAATTACCCAATTTTATCACTAAAATAAGAAAACCATATGCAGTTCTTAATTGGCTAAAATACAGCTTTGTCTGCTGTTGTGTAAAGGCATGTTTTCCGCTAGGCACTACATAGCATGTTTGAGGCCAGCCTATACATTACAAGACCCTGTCTCAAAAATATTTTTTTCATTGAAAATAAAGTCATGTCTTGAGAATAAATTTTGTGTGGAAGAAACCTGTCAGTATCAGTGAGAAATTAGCATTTTTGATGAGATTCTCAAAGCTATTGGTGATATTTGCTGAAGCAGGCTCTTTATTGTTGCTTCATAGAAGTAACAGATAAATAGGGAAATTTTAATTCAATAATTATATCTTAAAATTCTTGCCTGCATATGGGGTCAGTGAAGTGGCTCAGTAGGTAAAGGCACTTGCCACCCAGGGATGGCCTAGGTTCAAGTCCCAGAACCCACATGATGAAAGGAAGGAACTGACTCCTGCAAGTTGTCCTCTGACTTCCAAACACAAGCCATCACACACACATACACACACACACACACACACACACACACACACACACAATAAATAAATAAATAAATAAATAAATAAATAGATGTAATAATTTTTTAAGTTCTTGCATATATATGAAAAATAAATCTGATTAATTTGCAAAAAAAGCTCCTGTTGTTTAAGATTTCAATTCTGCTTTGATACTTCTTTGCAAAAGGGCTGTTGTCTGCTGCCTCTTCCTTTTAGCAAGGATGAGGTTAGTTTGAGTTTTAAAAGGGCAGTCTCTAGATTCAGCTAATAGATTATTTCCCTTTTTTTCAATTTATAATTTGAAGTAACTTGGCAATTAAAGAGCTTATGTGTGCTGTTGCACATGTGCCCACACATGCACAATGCGTATCATACAATACAATAAATTTTATTCCACTATAAAAACACTATGATATTAGTAGTTGCCTAATAAAGTAAATGAAATAAAAAAATTTAAAGTTAGATATATTTGCATGAATGAAAACTATACATTGTATAAATCACTATGCTCTTCTCTGAAGTCAGTCAATATATTACAATACCTTTCACAAGAATTGAAGTGTCTTATTACATACAGTAAACTATAAATATGAAGTAAGTTTTCTAGGCAAAATATAAAGTCTTGTATTTATAGTTCCTATTTAAATTGTGAAATAATTGTTGAGGCACCTGTGTAATTTTTAAAAAATGTTTTATTGAGATAAAATATGAACCATTTATTATATAGTTCAGTAGCATGAGTTATATTTACAGAGCCTGCAAACGTCACCACTACCCGTTTAAGCAAACATTTTGAAGACATTTACTATGGTTCAACACAAAGTAATTGTATTCCTTTTTAAGGCTCAGTAGTTTTCCATTGTATTATGTTATACCACATTTTGTTTATCTGTTCGTCTGTCAGTGGACTAGCTTACTACTTTCAATAGTTGATAATCCTTTCAATAGCACAAAGCATTAATGATGAAATCAAAAGTAAAATTTTTATTAAATGTCGGCTCTAGCTGGGTATGGTGCCGTACACCTTTAATCCCATCACTGAGGAGGCGGAGGCAGGCAGAACTCTGTGAGATCTAGGCCACCCTGGTCTAACATAGTTCTAGGACAGCTGGGGCTACAGGGAGACCCTTTCTCATAAAAACCTGAAACAACAAAAAGTTGACTCCATAAATGACATGTCTGTTTCATTGAAAGTTTCTCCTAAATTGTTATGAAATGAAACTTGACACATAACTTAGAATGTTAGGTCTTAAAGACGTTCAGTACCAATGACTTTCTTCTCTTTTCTCTTATAGATCCAGACTTTACTTACCTTGGAGGTATTTTAAATCCCATTCCAGGTTTAGTATATTACCTCTTTTCTCCTGTGGCATTTTTTATTAGTTTTATTTTGCTTTAAACATCATTCTCTTTTTTTCTAGATTGCCAGTTTGAGCTTTCTGGAGCAGATGGAATAGTACGTTCTAGTCAGGTAGAACAAGAAGAAAAAACAAAGCCTGGCCAAGCAGTTGATTGCATATGGACAATTAAAGCCACTCCAAAAGCTAAGGTATATATTGACTGACTTCGGAGAAGAGCATAGTGAGACCCGACTTACGTGTGTATAGTTTTGAGTCATGCAAATAACTTTAAATTTTTATTGTTGTGTATGACATGTGTTATGTATATGCCAGCACATGTGCCACAACACACCTGGGGAGTTGGTTCTCTCCTTCCATCTTTGTGTGGGTTCCTGCCATCAAACTCAGGTCAAGATTCTATTTTGTTTTTACCTGATGAGTCATCTCATCAGCAACACAATAAAGTTCTTAATCTTAAAGGATTAAGGTTTTAAGCTGGGCGTGGCGGCGCACCCCTTTAATCCCAGCACTCAGGAGGCAGAGGCAGGTGGATCTGTATGAGTTCAAGGCCAGCCTGGTCTACATAGTGAGTTCCAAGACAGCTGGAGCTACAGGGAGACACCCTGTCACAAAAAACAAAAAAAAAAAAAAAAAAAGAAAATACAAATATTGATCAAAGATACACTTAAAAAATTTTTTTAGAGGTCTAGGGAGTTAGCTTGGTGCGTAAAGTCTTGCTGTACAAGCATAAAGACTTGAGTTTGGATCCCCACGTACATAAAGCCAGGGACCTTTTCAGTAGTGCATGTCTAACACCAATGTGAGGGAATAGGGCAGACAGGAGGATCCCAGAGGCTCCGCTGGTCAGCCAGTCCATCTGAAATGAGGAGCTCAAGATTCAAAGAGAAACCCTGTGTCAAAAACTAAGTAGTGAGGGAGGAATATGCCTGACATCCAGCTCTGGATTCCACGTTACCCTGGTTTTGTGCACATGTGCACACACACATGCACATATGTGCATGCATAGGCCACACACACAAGCACACAGTCTTCAGAATAAAGCCTTTTTTCTGGTAAGGAACACTAAGCTGCACGACATGGTTGGTGATACCAGTATGAGAACAATGAGTCTGAGTTCTGTTTTCTCACTGATCATATGAAACTTTTATGGACAGCGCTATAAAGAATGTTGTTGTTTTTTTTTTTTAATCTTTGACTGATGCAGATTGATTGCTAACTGCTTTTGGGTTTTGCTGAATTTATATGTATAGGACTAGCAACAGAAGTTAAACTTAATTTTTACATACGTAGAAAAGGGGAAAAGAAAAGAGAAATAGAAACTGGGAAAACATTTTTAAAAATATTTTATCATTTTTATTTTATGTGTGTGTGTGAGTGCACCCATGTCGTGCAATGCCTCGGATGTCAGAAGAGGGCTTCGGATTCCCTGGAACTGGAGTGAAGGATGGTTCGTAGCCGCCATGTGGGTGCTGGGAATCGAACCCGGGTCCTCTGCAAGAGCAGTTAGTGCTCTTAACTGCTGAGCCATCTCTCCAGCCCCATGGGGAAACATATCTTTAAAGAATTGTGAAGCTAGGCATGAAATTATATGCCTATAATCCCACTTAGGCTAAAACAGGATTTTCGTGAGTTAGTAGCCAGCGTATTGAGACCCTGACCCTTCCCTCCCCTGGAAATCATGAAAATTAGATTTATATTTATGGTAATGTGATAAATAACTTAAAAACACTTAAAACAAGTCAAAAAACACTTGGAAACACTGGGAAAAAATATATCAGATATCCCTTAAAAAGCAAATATAATTTAAAAACCAGTAATTTATTTTCCTTCCTTTAATGTGTCACCAAATAATATAGCTCTAGATCACATTTTTAAGTTTTGTGTATTTGTTGGGTTTTTTGGGGGGGTTTTGTTGTTATTGTTGGTTTTTTATCTTTTTTGAGACATGATCTCCTTATAGCCCCAGCTGGCCTCAAACTCACTTTGTAGACCAGGCTGGCCTTGAACTCACAGAGATCTGTCTGCCTCTGCCTCCCAAGTGCTAGAATTAAAGGCATGCTACCACACCCAGCTTATTTTATATTTGTATCGCCTAACTATAGATCAATAAAAACCAGTAATTCTTATGAAGACAGGTAACTATATATTAGTATAGTAAACTGAAGTCGATGTTACAAATGCCTCTGACTGATTTCAACAACTGATTACTGCCTAGGGTGGACATAACAGTAGCTTGTTTTAGCACTGACATTGGGGGGGGGACTAGAGTTTGTGTGACCATCATCAGGCCCCTATCAAATGGGGGCCCCATATCCCTCAGAGGGAGATGACTGACATGAACAAACAAAGCAAAATGAGTTTCTCTGAGTTCATGTCAGTGACAAGGAAACGTACTGTGGTGGCTTGTTCTCCGGCTGTGCTAAGGCTATGGTCTCCCTAGGATTTCATATCTGGAATATTACTTTTGGCTTTAGGATATGAATTTACATTCCCTGGTCTGGCCAGGAACCACAAATCACAAATTAGCAAGCCAATCCTAAGCTTATAAAAACTTGCCAAAAATATCCAGAGACTTCAGAGCTTACATCCATAAAGCTGTCCTGGAGAATTAGATAGCCCCTCTGCTCATAGCTCACAGTGAAGTGAAAGCAGACAATAAATGGCAAGAGGCTCAACTTTCTAGATTTTAGGTCTTCAAGAATTTACTATGTACTTTAAATATCCTAAAGAAAGCTGGGTGTGGTGGTGCACACCTTAAATCCCAGCGCTCAGGAGGTAGAGGTAGGCAGATCTCTGTGTAAGACTGAGGTCAGTATGGTCTACATAGTGAGTTCCAGGCCAGCTGTGGCTACAGGGAGACCCTTTCTCAAAAATAAAACCAGTATATAAATGTATGTATGTATGTCCTAAAGAAGGAACAAAAAAATGAGAAAGAAAAATGACTAGTTAATTTTTAAAATAGCTACATACATAGACTTCTGTAATAAGAGGAATGGTTATTAAAAATCTGAGGAAATTTTAGTAATGGGAAGGTGCAGTGTGTGTGTGTGTGTGTGTGTGTGTGTGTGTGTGTGTGTGTGTATGTGTGTATGTTTTGCCTGAAGAAGCCAGAAGAGGGTGTTAGAGCCCCGGAACTTGGGGTTAGGGACAATTGTTAGCTACCATGTGAGTGCTGGGATCCAAACCTAGGTCCTCTGAAGGAGCAGCCTGTGCTCTTAGCCCTAAGCCATCTCTGTAGCCCTTAAGTGCTACATTTGAAATCTAATTTCTTTTTTTATAAGACAAATACATTAAAATTTAAAGATAGAAAAGTTTTTAAATGGGACTGGGGAGATGGCTCAGTGAGTAAGTGCTTGCTGTGCAAGCCTGAGGACCTAAGTTTGGAGCCCTAGCTCTGATGTAAGCTGGGCAGGGCTGCACACTTCTCTAACCCCAGCACTGGGATGGAGGATGCCAAGATAGGTGGATCCCAGGGCTTCCCAGCTAGACTGACATGATGAGCTCCAGATTCAGTGATAGGCAATCTTAAAAAAACTAAGGTATAGAGTGATAAATGAAGACAACTAATGTCAGTTTCTGGCCTCTGCACATGCACACACTCGCATGCACTAAACACCAGTAAATAAGTGCAAAATAAAAAATGACAGCAAGACTGAGTGTGGTGGTGTAAAACTTTAATCCCAGCACTTGGGAGGCAGAGGCAGGTGGATATCTGTGAGTTCAAGGCCAGCCTGGTTCCACATAGTGGGTTCCAGGCCAGCTGGAGAGACCCTGCTGCAAAAAAGACCAAGAAAAAACAACAACGAAAGAAATGACAGCAAATACCGAGAGTGAATGTAACTATTAAAATAGAAATCAAGACACTAATTCACAATGATATATAAGTTAGAATCAAAATTATAGCCTTAAAACATAAATTGAAAATCAACAATTCCAGTTACAGTAGGTTTTTACCTTAATAATTAATACATCAAACATAAAAAATTATTGAGATTCATAAGATTTAAACAGCATGTGATATCTTGCTAACAACATCCAGAGAATATGTGTTCTTCATAAACATGCATGATAGATTTATCAGAACTGATCCATGTATTAGACACTAGCAAGCATAACAATTAACAGCACTTCTTCCTTTGCAGAATCAGCAACCCAAAAGTTATTCTCAAGCTTTGCATGCTTGAAAATGTACCAGTATGCTCCTTGGTAATTCATACACCCCAGAAGAAATCAGGATGGAATACATTTAAAACTCAGTAATTAGGGGCTGGAGAGATGGCTCAGCAGTTAAGAACACTGGTTGTTCTCGCGGAAAACCCAGGTTCGAATCCCAGCACCCACATGGCAGCTAACAGCTGTCCATAACTCCAGTTCCAGGGGTTCCAATGGCCTCTTCTGTCCTCCGTGGGCATTGCACGGCACAGGCTCACTTATCTACATGCAGGCAATATACTCATACACATAAAATAAAAGTAATAAATAAAAAATATTTTTAAAACACAGTAATTAAAATATTCGTATAAAAATGTGATGCATTTAAAAACAATTTAAACTTTGAGAGTATTTTAAGCAATTTATTTATATATTGGTTTCTGTGTGCTCTTTCATTTCTGTAAAGTTTTATACATATTCTTTTTATGTTTATTATTTTCAAAATATGTTTTGTAAATTTTTATGAATTTTTGTGTATTTCATACATAAAGTCGTCTTTATATCCCCTTCCCGACTGGCACCCTTCCATAGCCCCCCACCCAATTGGAATTCATACATTCTGTCATTTGTGTTAAGGCCTATTGTGTCATTATTGTCACAGACATCCCTCAGTGCAAGTTCATCCACTGGGGTCTAGGCAGCCTATCTAGAGTCCCTCTCTTTAAGAAGATAAGCTCTTCCTCACCCAGAAGTAATCAGCTGCCAATAATTCTTCAACTGAGAATTGGGACGTGCTGTTCATTTCCACAGTTCTGTGCTGGGTTTTCGTCTGCTTGAGTTTGCATGGGTCTTGTGCATGCTGACACCATTGCTGTAGGTTCGTATGAGAAGGGTCCCAGGATCCTGTAGGACTATTTCCATATGGTCATTCATCTCCTTCCTGGCTCTTACAATCTTTCTGTCCCCCTCTTCTACAGTGGTCCCTGAAGTCTGTGTGAAGTCTGTAGAGTTTAAGAGTTCTGTCCAAGGATCCATA